ATCGTAATCAGTTCGTGATTGATCAAGAATTGCAAGAACTGACTACGAATATATACGAATCTGTTAAGAACTTCACGAACTGATTGCGATTCAACCACGAATCCTGAAATTTGTCAATTCCTGACGATTCGCGGGATTCGTGGTCTGTGTGAAATAGGGGCATAAGGCAACGGTATGAAGGTATTTCGGCTAGTGTTTGATAATTATCATATATGAAAATAAACAAGATTTCATACTCACCGCTTATAGTGATAACGTCAACAGCTGTGCTTCCCTTTAGACCTTTTTGTGGACGATTATTCAAAAAAATCTAAATAGTGTTTATAAGTTTTTTTTATCACTCACTTGGTTTCCTGTGCCGATTCCCACCACGACTATTAATATCACCTCTGAATTATAAGGACTTTGATCGTTTTCGTTTTCGATCTCTTTTGGTCAGTCACTGCCTTTTGATCAATACAAACGTCCACTGTCCCCTGAGTGCTCACCGTGAATTCTAACTGTTCTGTCTCTCACCCTGACTAAAGCGTTGACCTGTGACTAGCACTTGTCACGGTGTTATGACAACGGAAAGCTAATGAAGACGCGAATTGATTGATGTCATTATCTTCTACCAGATGGCACTGCATCTGTGTCGCTCACTGTCGTTTTTTCCCAATCCTCCATCGTCGTCGGTAAAACGTACGTTGAAACGACAGCAGTTAATTTAACGACGTGTTTTAGTTTACCCGTATAAGTCGTTCAACACATCAAACGACTGTCGTCTGCAACCGATTTTTGTCGTCTGCGCTGATAATGGACAGGTGCTAATTTCTGCATCAACTTGGCAGCGTGATTGTCGTGTTGGCGTCGGGGTATCAATTATTTACGCATTTTTTATTGCCTCTGTCAATTTTTTCAAGTAATATCATGACTACAGAATTAAAACTTTTTATACTATTTCGATACTTTTGGTGTGTGTGTGTGTGTGTGTGTGTGTTTTTTTTTTTTTTTTGGGGGGGGGGGATGGGGGGGGGGGGGGGCAGATGCTTTTTTATATTAATACAGATCCTGAGGAGTAAAGCTTGCTGGTGTTATGATTAATTGCTCGTCATATATAAAATCAATAAAGAATACATTCATTTATTTTAGGTTCTAACTATGTCCATCGAATATCTGCCTACAGGTACCGAACCTCATTCCAGGGAATGAAATGATGACCATACCATAAAAGGCTATAGAATTTGATTCACCTGGGCTAGATGCGTTTTAGTGATCTTAGAATCATTCTTTGGAAACTAAATGGATAATTTTCGTAGACTGCTGTATAAGAAATGAAGGTATTTTATTGTGTNTTTTTTTTTTTTGGGGGGGGGGATGGGGGTGGGGGGGTGGATCTGTCAGTCAGCGGATCGGTTCGAGCATAGGTCTGTCTCGCGGAGTAAGGCACGCACGCTGAACTGACTCATTCATTAGGAAATTGATGTAATCTAGACAAGCTGATCCCTACCAATATATCATCTAAAAATTCCATAGGCGAGGCAGTCTTGCGTATTTAATGGGCATAAATTTGCCCTCTGATAATCAGTTAATTGGCTTGCCGAGAGGTCATGGAATTTAGCATGGGATATGCTTGCACGCCTCCACGAGCAAGAATACGCACATTATCAGGCATGGAATAGTTTTGCTTAAACCCCATTTACACTGGCCGGATGGCGTCCTTTTTGCCACCATGAAACTGGCATCGCTGCGGTCGTAGAAAGGCACAAATATCGCTTTGGTTGCAAAATAAATGCTAAATGATCGGCCAGTTGTCTGCATGTAAATAATTTTTTTTTTTTTTTGCTCTCATACGTGACCGTACTACGAGAGTCAATTTTGATTTCCCATGATGCGTGAACGTTCTTTTTATGTAGCGTTATCTGTGAAATGTAGAGGGTCCCTTATAGAGGGTCCCCTTGTGTATTTTTGTTTATTTTGAAATCCACGTTTTATTTCCCGAGATACGTGAAACGTTCATATTAATTAGCACGATCCGTAAAGCACCCTATTCCCGTGACTGCGGCTTTTTATTCTTCGTCATTCGTAAAACGAATGATCAGTGATTTTCGACTCGCATTATCAGCGAGATAAGTATTTGCTGTGATTTGCGAATTGATGATTTTATTTCACGTGAACTCTGATCATACACCACCACCCCCCAGCGGACCCTTATAGGAATGAAAAAAAAAGCCTCGAGTATGATATTCGGTAAACGTTTCCTATTATTTTAATAGATCCAGCGTAATAAGTAAGTGTAACATGGTGGTTCAGGCGATGTAAAACACACCCACACGTAATGTTTTCTCAGCCCGTGTGAAGCAATGTTTGATTCACTAGACAGCAATCCACACGTTATTGTTTTTCTCAACTAGCACATTTCAGTAATGCCAGCTGCGACAATGGGCATCTGAAAGAGGATATTAACCCCTCCCCCTTACTCTCTCTCTCTCTGTCTCTCTCTCTCTCTCCCTCTCTCTCACACACACACACACACACACACACATCCACACACACACACACACACACACACACACACACACGAGCGCACGCACACACGCACACACACATTTCAATAAAAAGCAAGACAAAAGAAACCAAGCGAGCAGGTACAGAGTAGGGCGAACCTTGAAACTCTACAGCATCGTTCTAGATCTCTTTCTGCTTATTCGCAAATATAAAATGCACATGTAATTGACGAGAGCATATTTTGGCACCTGTAATGATACGCGTATGTTGGGATAAACAACATTACATATATACATATATTCTATTTTCCACAGACAGAAGTCACGTGAAATTGACACTGGATTGATTTCTTTTGATTGGTAATGACTTGTCTGCTCGCTTCGCCCACTCGAAAACGTCACTGCAAAGGACACAAAGGAAAGACGTCAGCGCTCTGACGACATTGTTATTAACCCCTTTTCTGGCATGGTGTTAAATGGCTGGCACATGGAAGTTATATCATTTTTTCGAACTTATGTCGCCGTGATTGGCGTCACTAACAAGCGAAGTTGAAGTCAAGGAGCAGATCTCCTTTCCACAGCTAAAAAAAGATTGACTCAATTAACAGCGTACTTGCTAAGAGACACGCACTTAGGCCCAAACGTATGTTTTTGGTAATGGTTGCAACGTCAATCACTCAAAATCGCGTTGTAATCTGGGAAAGAAGTAGCGTCAGTGTACGTTGCTTAGATCAAGTTATTTGGGATCACTGCGTTCCACATGCAGAAGGTCAATCCACTTTGTATTTTAAATTTTAAATCATAAAATTTTATCTCCATAAAATTATATATACCAAAATTGGTGTGTGAGGTGACATTCTTTAAATTCTATATTTAGTTTTTTCCTCTTAATAAACTTTTCTATTCTTTTTTTTTTCTTATTTGTCTACAAGACAACTGTTTTATTTGTTGCATTGATCCTATTTTTACAGTTGTGCAGTTAGGTCTTTCATATTGTCTGCCTTTGTGCATGAACCTATATGCATGTATTTTAGTGACAAACTGAATTCTTATTTTTCTCACAGCGCTGAGACGAATTTGGAGAGAGATTTAAAAGAACTGTTTATCATTATTATTAGTATTTTTATTCTTACTCTTATTTATACTCACACATATAGGCCTATTAGTAATCTCAACAATCAACTTTTTTCTTAATGCTAAAACATTATTCACGGAGATAAAACCGATACCCCGTCGTCTATAAGTAGGAAATAGGAGTTGGCGTAAGCGTTTTGAACTCTTCAACCCAAAACCTGCCAACCTATAACAGAGACGTACTCAAGGACAATTTATTTAACTACAGGCAGATAATATATATGTTGCACTACTCTACGATTTCGTAGACACTTCGAACACGAAACAAGTTGCTACTAAGAAATAATCAGTTTCTAGTGCCAGTAAAGATGAGTGATTATCCTTCTTTTCACCGTTTAACTGTGGCACGACATCACGATTCTTTATAATCAGGGTTCTCAGACATGAAGCCAGCGATTTCAGAGGGGGCGTGGGAGGGATGGAAGTTTTTTTTTTTTTTTTTGAAAAAGTGGACCTTTTTACTTCCGTTGTTCAAGCAAAATTTGAGAAGTGGCATAGAAGCTAGGTTTATTTTGATTCAGCGTGGACCTTCTCTAGCCAAAAGGGCGGTTCTTTCGAAACTCCGCCCCCTCCCTCCCCCTACTACACATGTACGTGTCTGGCTCTTGACAAAGCCTATGATGGGGTCTGTTTTGCCGTTTTGTCAAAAAAGCATTAGCCCAAAAATTAGTCTCGACTTTTAGACCAAAATTGTAGTGTACTTTGACCCCAAACAAATAAAAGTGGTCAAAAAAAAAAAAAAAAAAAAAAAAAAAAAAAGAAAAAATTGCAGCTGTTTTGATAGAAAAAAATATTGTATAGATCTGTATTGAGAATCGTGTAGCAGACCAAATTTTCGATCTAAAACTTTCGGCATAGTGCTGCATGACGATAGATAATGTTAATCTGAAAACTTGCCTCATCTTCTTGGTAATATTTTGCAGTTCAGGCTTGTTTTATCGATTAAATCTTTAAAAAAGCGTGATTCAATTGCCGCAGTCGCATTTACAGCGTTATCAAACCGACTACCTCCAACAATTGTAACACTGGTGACATTTCAGGTGAGTCTCTTTACTCCTATTATTCCAATTCTTGAACAAAGCATAATAGTGCAATTTCTGTGTCTGTTTTCTCTTTTGGATTCCCAACAGGGTTTCCAGAAAACGCGTCGCTGATCTGCTGCGTGGACTGCTGCTAACAAGAATTATTAATTGTAATTCTGGGAACTCGACTTATTGTGCAGGAAGTATTAGCGATACGACTTTCATAATTACTAGTATTTTTCAGTCTGTTTGGCCGCGTTTAATAATGTCCTATTTTCTGTGTCTGCATACTCAGCATGGCTACTAATCTTTCCCTATTCTGACCTTTAAAAATAAAAAAAGACATTATGTCGCCATTTCCTTCTGATTTTTTTTATATTCAGGTCCACACGCTTATCTGAACTTCTGACCATACATTCAGACCCAATAGCAATGAATAACTCTTTTGTCACAAATTAATAAAAACTTAATCACTCACGTATTTCGATATAGCCCTCGGACATCTTTGTCATTCTCAGAGTGACACAGGTGGCGTCGTGTCACTGGTTTATTATTATTTATTTATTTATTTATTTATTTATTTATTTATTTTTGCGCTCCCGCCCCCCCCTCCACTCTGTGACGCAACTACGGCACTAAGAGTTATCCTACAGCTGCGGGAAAGTGTATCCGTCTTGGGGTAGTGTATATATGCGAATATTGTTCACTGTTGCTAAGGATCTCTGGAATCAGCCATCGAAAAATGGCACATGCATTGAATGCAGAGCAGTAAGGAAGACGGTGGAAGGTGACAAGGTGCTGTGTCAACTTCTGAAATCACGTTTTTTATGAAACGGGGTTATGCTATATGTACTTGAACACAATGAGCTCATACAGAACAGGGGACAAACAGATCCGCAGATCAAATATGGCCGACCCACTTGGATGCTTGGTGCGTAATCCCTACAGGAAATCTATTCAGAGTCTGATCCTGAATTTAGCGGTAAGCTTTTTAGTGGGACGCCATATTTAATCTGCGGATCATTCGTTAACATACAAGAGTCGATTCCTACATATACCCGTAGATTCCATACAATTACTGGGTTACCGCAATATCTTTTAATAGGAATGAAATCAAATCTACAACCGCACATTGAAAAAGATGGTTTATTTTATCAAAGCACTTTTTTTCTGTATGCCACAAGTACATCACAATGATGTTCAGAACCCTGGAGACTAAACTATAACCTGTTAACAAAAACGTAACATGACAAAATCAATTAAACCCTTCCCCAGATTCAAAACTATTAATATGTCAAAATTTCAACTTTAATTCAAACCGGAAAGAAAATATTTATGCTTTATGTCAATATTTTAAAGTTAAACACAACAAGGACCCAACAACGTCAGTTTAAATCTGAAGAAAAAAATTCAAAGAATCTAAAAGGTACAAAATGTACATCATACGGTTATGGTGCCCTATGTACAAATATAATCATACAATAATGATACGCACGCGTGCGGAGTACCCTGCCCTCTACCAGGGTGGCAGATATTACAGGCAAATTTTCCCAAAGTCAGAAAATCAAATGACATAAAGACATATCTAAAGACATATCTGTGGATATCTTGTGAAAAATCAATCTGTCGCCCTGGTAGAGGGTAGTATTACCAAGTCTATCACAGAGTTTGGCAAGTGAGCAAAACTGAGAGGCGGACCGGAGGGGGGGGAGGAGAGGCGAGGGTATAAGGCCAACTGCCCCGCATCCCATTCGGCATTCTTAAAACGGAAATTTTTGAAAGAACAATGTGGAGTACAATAAAGCTAGAAAAGTACTCAGAGAACGCAGACCTCCGCCAAAACAAATGAGTAACCGTTAATTAGCCGAAGGGCCATCACCAAAATCTTATCGCTTTGAAAGGGATAACAACTGTTCGTTTTGACCAAAAAACAGATTTTCCTTGGGTTAACGAATCTATTCGACGTTCAAAAGCTCGTCTTTCTCAAGTTTTTATTAATCTATTTTTATAATTATTAATTTTTTGTCATGCAATCTCTTCAGAGATCATTACAGAGGTAATTAAAGCCATCTACCACTTGAAGGTCCACACGGTCTAATGGCAAGCACAACTTCCAGAACAATTGTGATAACCGCTGCTCGGCTGGTAAAATGAAATTTCTTAGATTTCTTCGAGTTGTTTACAATGTATTCAATGGGAAGTATGATTCTCATACGAACAGTTCTTATATCTTTCAGTTAGCCCATTTCTGACCTTTCCTGGGAATATCTTCAGAATCTATCCATAACTTTTTTAATTAGGCTGGTGACGAACAGACAAACAGAGGCGAAAACATAAGCTCCTTGGCGGAGGTACATTTCGTAAAAGTTATTGCTACTGTCGAGCCACTTGTCACCTTTTCCGTGAACATTATTATATAACCCTGAATAAGAAATTTGTAACAATCAAGTGAACACATGTTTGAAAATTTTCTTGGAACAATTTCGGTAGAACAAACAAGAACGTTGGGATGGCACTGGGCTGCATTCCCTCAACTAACATATTTTGGTAGGACACAAGTTAAACCTTAAACGTTTGTTTTGTAAAACTTGTATTGTAGTGCCAAATATATTACCATGTTAAAGCATGTTAAAAGGGATAACAACTGTTCGTTTTGGCAAAAAAAAAAAAAAAAAAAAAAAATGGGATTTCCGCATCTATGAAGGTCCATGTGGTCTGATGGCAAACACAGACTCCAAAATAATTGCGATAACTGCTGCTTTGGTGGACAAATGTAGTTTATTATATTTCTATGAGTTGTGTACAATGTTAATATTGTGAAATATGAATCACATACGAACAGTCGTTGTCCCTTTAACATCTTTGGCTAATTCCTGTGCAAAACGTACACTGATCTATAGACGTATATAGGCCTATAAGGACAATATTTATTTTTCAAAAAGTTTCAGTAATTTTCCTTTATCGCAAAGGAGCATTTTAGCAATCAACTGTTAAGAAAACTGAGATCTATAAACCCAAATTCGGGTTCTACATTTCTGTTTTCACCGTTACGAGTGAAAATACTAAACTCTATCTCCATAATAACAGTGAGTCAAATATTAAAAACGACAAACCTGGCAGGAAGGAGTCTGATTTCAAAGTTCACCACAAACAACGCCCAATCATGTACACTGTAATAACAAGTATGTGGAATCAGAACCAGAACAACTTTGTTGGTGAATAGGTAGTTTCAAGATTTTCTACGTAATACAACAGCATGTTCAAGCACCCCATGAATAAAATTCATATCAATTCATTGTCCTAGTTTCATTGACCTGTCTATGACATCTCACAACTGAAGAGGTCTTCATTTTAAATTTGGTCCATGCAAACTTGTTCTTAAGGGGCGGCTTTTCTGGGATTAAATAATGGGAAATTATCTTTCACTATCGGTGTTCAAAAACGAATTCATATGCACTACACAGGGGCGGATCCAGAAATATTTTCTGACAGTCTTCCAAATCATCTTTGTTGATCCATCCTCCATTTCTGACCGTCTTCCGACAGAGTAAAATTAGATACCCGTCCGTGTAAATTTGAAAATCTGACCGTCTTCCGGAAGACCCAGAAGACGCCCTAAATCCGCCCCTGCTACAACAAGTTGTCCTTTAAACAGTGTACAGGTATATCCTACAGAACCCGACAAACAAATTATGGTACACAAAATAAAGATACCGTACTTAGGAACCACAAATCTCTTCCCCAGCATAAAAAAAAAACAAGAAAAAAAATGAACCACAATTTCAGAGCTGTTTTGGCGGAATATTTCAAAATAGATTGATATGTTTTATGTTCTTGACTTCACACATAGCCCTAAAAATAGAATAAATTTTGTTTGACTTTTTCTTCTTTCTGGATTCTACAAAATTTCATGTCCAAACCCAAGATATCTTTTGTACAATCAGTCTCAACGTTATAGGCCTATGCTAGGTGACACCCCCCCCACCCCCCATGGAATAGTGTACAAGCAAAAATATAAATCAGATTAAAACTTATAAAGATATGCACAATAAGCACACAGACTCACTCCTTATGAATGTTACTGTTCTATACAAAAATACAGACTTACAATTTAAAAGTTATATGCTTCTTTACATGTAAATTAATTGATGCAGCAGCCACCAAAATACTATAAAATAAATTAAAATAAGTGGCACTACAGTTCTTCTTTTATAGGGAAAATAAGTTCTAAGATAAAACAAAACGTGTATTTAAATGCTGTGCAGATAAAAACCGAAAGTATTATTACCAATTCAGAAAAAAAGCATTCCCTCCAAATACATTATTACCAAGAAAAATAAGAAATATTTCCTTAAGTCAGATAGAGAAATTGGGCAAGTCACCTGCAAACTGCAAATTCCAAAGCTCACGGTTTCCCACTGAGACACACACAAAACTTTTTTTTTTCATTTTGTAATTTTTGCATGTGCCTTTTACAAGTTCTGTGCAGAAATTGATCCAAGTTTACAAATCACCTGTTACAACAAATGAAGTGAACACATAGGGAGTATGACCAAAGTCGTAAAAAAAAAAAAAAAAAAAAAAACTGCAGATATATATTCACATCTACAACCAACACAGGACAAAATTTAACAAATATTGTTAACAATCAGTCTCATCAATAAAGAAATCTAATCATGACCCAAATGAATATTAATACATTCACGTAAGACCTTCACATATATAAATAATAGCTATAATATTTTTCAATTAAACTACACCAAATTCTCCATTATGCACCAAGGTATATAACATCCAAAACCTTTGAGAGAATTAATATCGGTAAACCATTTAAGGAATTCTAAATTTATTAATAACTACGTAGACAATTCATCAGTGTCTGTATGCATTATATGAGAGGGTCAAAAGTTGGGATCATAGAATAAAGAAATTGTCATTTTTCATTGTTTTTAGAGATGATATACCATGGTGATAAGGGAAAAAAAACATTAATTTCCTCTACAAAGAGGTCTGTAACACAATGTGTTCCTTAATTAAATAAAACCTGTACAATTTATTGCTGATGAGTTAGAAAACATGAAATGGCAAGGGCAGCATCTCACCTTCACTGAGTTAATTCACGAACTTATAAAGATGGTATTACAGACATGGCTTAAAAAATTTCCTGGTTTATATTTCCCTTTGTAAACTGTACAAACCCTCTCATGTTAAAACCCAGTTTATATTAAAGAAAAAAAAAAAAAAACGTGAATTAAAAAAGCAATATAACTTGTGTTGATGGACCATGACTTCACCTCACTGTGACAGTAATATTTATATTTAGTACACAATATCCAACCTCACATTACACTTACGACAGAATATCTGCTCTATGGCCCCATACAGAATAGATTATCCGAGCACTAACTGATCTGCTGACTAAATATGGCCGACCACACTTCAAAAGAGGTGCTGCTGATTCCTGATGGTCTCCCCGCCTCCACACATGCCATTAAAGGGAATAAACCTTGGCTCTGAGGTTTAATTGCTAGGTCACTGCAGCGATGGCTTGTGTAGAGGCGGGGTGGCCATCGAGAATTAGCGGCATCTCTTCTGAAGTGTGGTCGGCCATATTTAGTCGCGGATCAGTTAATACATGGATCATCTATTCTAAGTGGGGCCTATGTCTACTTATCTGAGCCTCTAGCGAGGATCATTTTGACTCAAAATTTGATTTAACCTGTTTAATGTATGATTGAAAAACAATATGTGCAGTAAACATCCCATGAAAAAATTTGAGATAACCAGGAAACAATATTAACATCATATACACCAGGCCAGTAGTCGAGGGGGGGGGGGGGTCGGGGTTTGAAAGAACCACCCTTTTTGCTGGGAAAAGGTCCACTCTGGGTAAAATTTGATCTATGTACAAGAGAATTTTATGGTAAAAAGTCCACTTTTTCATTAAAAGACCCCCCCCCCCATATCTCTGAAATTACTAGCTACAGGCCTTTACCCATATCATGACTTGATCTGCTTTCCCATAACAATTTTCATGTACAAGTAGGCACGCCATGCATTCTCCTTGAGTATTTTCTATGGAGTTCCTGTAAAAGATCTTTATTCATCTCACTGCCAATTTGCCACCATTATCACTCACTTGTCCATCCTCTTAAAGTGATGCAACATCTTGCATTGACTTACATTTTTTTTTCGGTTCCATCAAAACAAGCGCCATATCTTTTATGTTTTCTTAAGCCTGAATCTTTCCATCAGAAACAATCTTACATTTCATGCTTCTTCAATTCATCAAAAAGTCCCCAACCATCCCACCATTTACAAAGCTTGGGCCAATATCCTGTAATCTCAGACTACTATATAATTGGTTTTCTTAATGAACAAAAGTAAATAATTTAATTACTATGCTTGTGCTCTGCACCATAATTAAGGACAAAATGTATGTGACTTGTCTCAAATTGAATGCCGTAGCTGCCATAGAAAATCCCCAGATGTTTTGGACTGCACCTTCACCTTTGCCTGATGGGTCAAGATTTTTTTCTTTCACAAAAGAATTCTGTATTCCATCACAGTTGAACTGTCATTATGTCTCCGACATGATTCACAGTTAGTTCCTTTGGACCAGTTATACTGCTCAACTGAGCATCCCATGATGCATGTGGGGACGTGTCCCATGATGCATGTGGGGTAATATCCCATGATGCTCATGATGCACAGGGAGCTATCTTCTTTACCTGCCAATTAATATTCCACCACAGAGAAAAGTAATTTCAATCAATTGCAGTTCCTGGTATAAATGCAGGGGAATCAGGCACACAGTTTTCTTCACCATTTTAACAATAGTTACACCATTGTCGAAAGTCTGAGGTATGATGTTTTCTTGGACTGAACTGTATTTCTCTCAGTGGGTTTTTCCATTTACAATCCAGAGTAAACTGCAATAGCCTCATCTTTGGCTGTATCCAGTGCAGCCAAGTGTTCCTTCTCAAAACTGAATTGCGTGCAGCAAGCTGTGCCCAGCAAATGACCACCTGTACTTCAACTAGCTCCCTTTTCTTGAGTCGTATCTAATTGCAGTTTTCCCGGTTGCAATTTATACATTCCACCTTTACCCTGTCTAGATGAAGTTATTACAGTTATTACAGTAACTGCCTCTCGGTGCTAAATGAGCAATTTTCAGTAATTTGCTTAATGTGGATTACATCAGTTCAGGGGCAACGAAACCATTATTGGAATATAAACTGCTGTGGCATCTTTGTCATACAATCTGCAATACGGCGTCCTTGATAAATGCTGGAAAAGTGTTCTCTGCACTTACAAATACCATCCCAGTGTTATTTGCAGTATATCATTACTGTGCAACACAACATATTTTTCATTACAAAATGCCACAGCATCCGGTAATGCACCCTACCAAATCCTGTACAAGTTTTAAAGCCGCACTGTGGAGAAAATGCACTTAGAACCTGGTTTGATGGAATGAAGTACTTTTTGAGCACCATGAAGCGGGAATAGGAAAGGGTGGACTAACGCACACCTCTCTCTCTCTCTCTCTCTCTCCTACCCTATTATTACCAATACCATGATATAAAATTTTGTTAAAGTTATTCTGTTATATCAAAATATTCCATGAGCAAAGGTGGCAGCGATCCTTTTTGGACCCGGAGAGCGAGTAAGACCTCCGAATGTTCGACACTTAGGGTACGCAATTCCGTGAGCTTCATCAAGAGTTTGGCAAAGTTTTGGTTCTTTTTCACGTATTTGGCCTTCATGTAGTTTTGTAGTGCACGGACGTACATTTCCTGAACTTTCTCTATCTTTTGGGGCTCTGAAAGACCAGTGCGCTCTGAAAAATAATAAAAACAAAAAATTTGTCAGCTCTGTTCCTCAAAGAAAGAGCATAATAACCTCCGTTTCATCTAAGATTCAGTATTATATTTAATTTTCTCATCATCTCAGTAAAAAAAGCTTGGATGAAGCAAAACTTTCACTTTGTTTTTCCCAAAGGGCATAACCATTTAAAGACCTCTCTCTCTCTCTCTCTCTCTCTCTCTCTCTCTCTCTCATATATCAAATTCTTCAGTTCACAAAATCTTAATTTTATTTATGTTTTATAGGGTGAGGTCACATAAAGCTCATCAATGTAAGCCTCTCTCTCTCTCTCTCTCTCTCTCTCTCTCTCTCTCTCTCCAGGCACTAGTTGACAATAACCAGAACTTACCTGAAAAAACACAGATACATGTGAGCAGAGCATACTCTGCATTATCCACATGGAGTAGTCCCATGGTACGACAGAAGTTATACATGCTATCTACAAAGTCCTTGAGACCTGCGAACCTGAGATTATCACGAGTGTAGGGCTGCCCGTCCCCAAAAACGACTGTGTCTGTATTGAGGTCGTATCGCCTAGCTGTCCGAAGCATCATCACCTCGCATGCAGAGCCCTGTGAATTAAGGGAGATCTCTTTTATAATTGATTGTAAACTTAAATTGTACATGTATGAACTCACCAAAAATACCTATACTAGTATCACCACGCAAACACTCAACCAACCCTAAATCCATCAACAAAACATTTATCCTAAAAGAAAACAACCATCAAACCAACAAATCAACCAACCAAACAGTCACCCAACCAACAAACAACCTTTACCACATCATCCCCCCCGTGCCCTCCCCCCCTCCAAAAAAAAAAGCCATCAAACCATCCAGCCACTCTAGCAACTACCAAACAACTAAACTAAAGGTCATCCAACCAAAAACCAAACAACCAAAAACTCAACCATCAACCAACCAACAATGCCCACATTCAACCAAACAACCAACCATACAATAACCCAACCATCAATCAACCATTAAACCAACAATGCCCACATTCAACTAAACAACAAACCACACAATAACCCAACCATCAATCAACCATTCAACCAAACAACCAACTATTCAAACCTATAAATCCAACATACCAACTAGCAAGCCATTCATTTAAGTAGAATGTGCTGTTTCATTAAATACAGAAGTTATGTTTTTTAGTACACATGCATACAGTGCTTGGAAGGATTCTACATTTTCTGTGCATTCTTAATGTATTCTATTAATGTATCAGATAACTGAATCGATTCTAGGACAATCACCCCCCCCCCCAAAGAATATATATTTACATACAAATATGAAGTAAAGAGTGTAAAGTACAAAACATTAATCCATTTTATTTATATTTTTAGTGTGATAATACAACTTCATCATTAAACAAATTATTTTAAAACAACCATACAAATTATCAGAAGTAACAACAACAAAAAAAAAGAAAAGAAAAAAAAATCCTCTCACTTTTAGTAAAATTATCTGATCTTCTTTCCCTAGTGTCATAAACCCAGGAAGCCGTTTGGCAAATTCCACAATAAGTTGTGTCACCAGTATTGTCATTTCTGCCATTTGTATGAATATCATCTCGGTGACGTTTTCGCAGTTACTACTAAATTGCTGGAAAATGATTTTAAGAAATCTATATAGAATGTGTCAGTGAAAAAAATACATTGCTTATGTGACCCTTCTGCAAATTACGGTCTTGAAGGTCACCTCACAAGTAAGTTATTTCAAAAGAAATCTGACAAAAAAGTGTGAGGGCCCGTTTGAGAAAAGATTTTGACAAAAAAATTCTGTAACTTGCAAAAGTGTTGATTATCAATAGCAATTCATCCACAGTAATTTTCGAATGTCCATAAAACAAAGAAGAAATGCCATAGGATAATATTGGACATTCTTTATATTTTACTTCCAAACCCTGTAAAATAAAATTATAGTGTGCACTCTACGTCACTTAAAAGCGATTAATTTCTTCCAAGGAAAAGGATGCTAAATAATTTTGAGAAATCTTTAAAGATTTTTTAAAAAGAAAGAGGACTAGCCAACAAAAATTAAAGAAATATGCAAACAAAATTAAATCAGAAATATGCAGTCCTTCTTGCATGATCAAATACATTACAAAAATGGCTTACTGGGAGTTTTAATCACCAGCATTATAACATGATTGACTTGTGATGGTGTCAACAACTGAACCATTTCAGATGTACAATGTTCATCAGTTCACATTTGCCTCCCACAAAAAAAAAAAAAAAAAAAATTAAATAAATAAATAAATAAATAAATAAATAATTTAAAGAAATAAATTTCAGCCCAAATATTCATTTTGCATAATTGTCAACCAAAGTTTGTTTCTCAGGGGCAGATCCAGAGATATTTTCTGACGGTTTTCCATATTATCTTTAATTTGTTAATCCATCCTCCATTTTTGACCATCTTCCGACAGAAAAAATTTGATACCCAAGATAAATTTTAGTTCAAGACGGCAAATTCGCCATGTTTGATGTGGTGACGTCATCGTTCGGTGGAGTCACGTGAATCTTGACGAGTCACGTGAATCTTGAAGCCAATTTTGCTGTCTTGAAGGCGATTTTGCCGTCTTGAACTAAAATTTATCTTGCACTGATATTCTGTTGTTTTGAATGAAAATTTCCGATTTGAAGCCATTTTTCAAATCTAGATGATGGAAATGTATGAATTGAGACAAAATATTTGTGTCTTGAATGTATTTTCGATGTCTTGAAGGAAATTTTCCCGTCTTGAAATTTTTCCGCTTTGGCGTGCCATACTTGTGACAATAGCAAAAACCTGTTTCATAAATACCTTGTTCCAAAGTAAGTAATTGATTATCACTAAACATCATTAAATAAAAAAAAAAAACCTTGGAACCATGACCTGTGGGCATTCAACCTGATAATGTGCTTGTGACAAGATGACAATAGCGAAACCAATCTTTTTCATAAACACATTGGAAAGTAGGTGATTAATTATCACGAAAATAGTAATAAATCAGGTCTTCAACCAGGGGGAGGGGGGGGGGGTTCGGGGGTTTGAAAGAACCACCCTTTTGGCTGGGAAAAGGAACACTCTGGGTAAATTTGATCTTGGTTAACTAAGGTTTCATGACAAAAGGTTCACATTTTCAGTTACAATTTTGCAGTAGTTGGGTACCGGCCTGTAAATAAACCCCTTGGAACTACAAACAATGTAACAGATGATCCAAGCCTTGCCTGGTTCCATCTACATTGTACTTTATACTCACAGAGACTTTTTTAATATCCTCCTCCTTGGCTATCTCATACTGATCCTGATAAACCACCAGCATTTCCACAAGCACTTTCTCCTTCTCTGTGATTTCGGACAGAGGATCCTGAGTAATGTCATTACCACTAGCGCTATTACTGCGACCAGTGTCTTTGCTGCTATTACTTAACTCTGCAACATTGGTGCCCGTGTTACTGTCGGGACTGGGATGGCCTTTACGCTGACCTACGTTTTTTGATTTCCTTCTGGCATCTCGAGCTTTACATTGTTCATCCGACAGAAGGCCTAAAACATAAATAACATTGACCTTAAAAGTTTTTTTTTCAACACTGTATTTTTAGAGGTCATATTACTAGCAAGTCATTATGAGCATAAAATTTTTTTTTCTGAAATAAATTATATCAATTTTTTCAAAAATAAAATTCATGTTGTGTAAAACTTATTAATTCTGCCAAGGAAGCTATGTGATTGGATCCATTTGTCTGTCTCCGTCTGTTAGCACAATTATGGATGGATTTAGACGAAAATTTTCAGAAACTGTCAGAAGTGGAAAATGTAACAAACAATTATATTTTGGTGACTATTTATTAATTTCAAGATTAGAATTGATGACAATGGCACTGCCTTTGAGGGGTTCTGTGGTTTCCAAGTGCTTTTCTGGTTCCTATTTTTATATAGTAAAAACTGTAAGCATGGCCAACATATTGTCTTTCATAATAATAATAAAAAATCTGACTTTTAAAAAAATTCTGTAAAAAAAAAAAAAAAAGAACAACTGCTAAGAAAATGGCTTAATGTACTATCCGAAACACCAAATTAATTAACTGGAAAAAAAGTAAGCACTTTGGGATTTGAGGCATCATCATCATTAACTCACGTTCCCTTTCAGATATCGATTCTTTTCCACACCCTTCACATTCTACAATGTGACAAGTTGTGAAATATAAAGCATGTGTAAAATGCCAGTTAACCGCATACACCATTCTCTTCTCAAGTTCCTTATTTCATGTAGTGCCAGATCAAGAAGAATTGTCCTTGATCTACTAATGTGGGCCAGTAATTGCAATCGAGTACTTTCAGCAAGTGCAGTTGCCATGGCAACTCAGTTAAGCTGTAACCAAAACTATTTCTACAAATGGTAACAATGGTAACAACAATAGTGATAAAAATAATAATCAAAAATATATAATTTCCATTCCATTGTCCTTTGTCACAAAGTAATAATAAAAATAACAATAATATTTCATCAATAAACCATGCTTTACACATATCTCAACACTGTTTACAAATATATACAAAGCATTTTCTAAGATAATTTGAACCTTATATAAATGAATTGAACTGAAGGAGGCATAAAATGAACCAAGCAATTTTTTAAATAAAATTTTAATCACATTAAGAAAACTTAAAAAACTAATTGGTATTAAGTGAGATTAGTAGTACGAAATGGAATTCAAAGATGCTTTGAAAATTTGATAAAACTCTTGATGACAAAAATTGTAGAATAGGAAGTTTTACTGTTTCTTATACTTGGGTTGAACATATTTTGTTGTTATTGATGAAAATCAAAGTAAAGAAGTAGAAGCCGACTTGGATAATCATAAAAATGCAAACCTGAAAACTTAAAAATACCAGAGAGTCTGAATGTTGTTATATGTGATAAAATGTGTAGTGCTTTACAAATATGGCAAATGGTAACAGACAGTTAAGTACAGGAGATGCTTAATTAAGCGTACTTGAAATAGAACTGTTCCTTTTTTAAGCCAATTTTTCAATATGATATTTAAATTTGTATCCCCAAAGTGGTATAATGCTACTCTTTGTTGGCTTCAAAATATGAACAGGGGACTGTAAATGATGTCTATAACAATAGAGCGATATTTCTATTAAATATTACATGAAAATAATTAACAAAGATTAGAAATGATAGATTTACTAAATGGACAAATGAAAATGGAAAATTCAATAAACTCAAGGATAAGTGAGTTATTCCATGAAAACATGTTTACGGGATTTGTTGATAAAATTCAGACTGTTGGTCTTCAGCCAAACTTGCCAATCACCTCTCGGACTCAGATATTGAAAATGTCAACCTGACATGTCACGCTGACCTGTCATCCATTCTTGGAAAGGTGGCATTTCAAACCATCTTAAAATAGCCTCTGAATCAAGTTTTGGTTGTCATATTAAAGCTACTCAAATATATTATGATATCTTAAGGGGAAAACAAGAAAAAGATTAATATTTCATAGGTTTTATGGTCTGCGTCCTTCATGAAATCAACAGTGTAAAGACCTTAACAAAAAACAAAATTACATGTCTTTTTCATTTTCTGGAAAGACAATTGGAAGGCAATGAAGCATAATAATAGTATTCATCTCTCATAAGCAAAGTACAAGTGCAATGATCTTCCTGTTGGAAGCAACATTCATAGGGTAAGGATATATCAAACACAATATGTAATACTCACACTCCTCTTTCATTCCAACTTCTTTACATCTTCGTAACCGACATGCCTGGCACTTCCGTCGCATCCACATGTCCATCTCGCACTTTCCTCCATATTTACACATGTACGTCGCATTGCGAGTGATGCTCCTCCTAAAAAAACCTGTAATGAAGAGTCCATTAGAATTAGAAAATTTTATGAAATTTTCACCAAGGACTGCAAGATTTTTTTCTATTAATGCATGTTATTGTTATGTACACACACACACACACACACACACACACACACAAAAGAAAACATCAATTATCTTTAAAATGCTGCTCATCATTATATCCAACTCAAAGCTCAGATAAACATTTGGTCAATAAACAATTATCAATGGTACAAATATATTTCTCTGTTTGGCTCAAAAAATTATAAGCAACTGATCTCTCATCACAAACACCTCTATTATGACTGGATCTTTTATGGACAAATTGTCAATCTTTCATCCATGTTACTTTGAAATTGTAAAAAAAAAAAATTCTTTGTTGCATTAGTGGTCTCTTTCGCTGTCTAGAATAAAACTATAAGATTGCTACGCTTTCAAAAATGTTCAAATTTTAAGATTTCTGGCATGAAAAAATGCAAAAATCTGTAGAATTCCCATTTTTTAACCCATTGAAAAGATGGGGTCATTTAAAGGGATAATAACTCTTCGTTTTCAGCCAAAAAATGAATTTTCCTAGAGTAAAGGGGCCCGCACACGGTGAGCATTCGGCGTGCGCCACTTGCGCTGCGCCGTTTTCTCATTGTGTGCGGGGGTATTTTGGTGAGATTTTTGCCTCACGCGCAGCTGAGCAAAATTTCTCACGTGTTTGATTTTTTTGGTCTCTTGAGGCAAATGTCTCAGCGTGTGCGGGGTGCAAGCGCCGATTGCTCACGCCATGCTAACAATGCGCATGTGCCAGTAGCCGGAAACAAACAAAAATGGCAGCCCCCAGTGAAGTCAACAAAAATGTACACAGTTATAGTTAGTCTGATTGATTAATGTGGTCACCATTTGCCATTACTTTCAGAAAAAAAAAAAATATGTAATGTTTCCTTAATCACATGATCCCACAGTTCGCGGTGTGTCCGATAGGGGCAGGCCGGGAGGCATCTCTGCTGAGCAAAGAGCGCATCGTTTGCGGGGAGCTGAGGAGTGTGAGCATGTGGCGCAGCGCAAGTGGCGCGCGCCGAATGCTCACCGTGTGCGGGCCCCTTAAACAACAATTTTTCCAGACTTCACAATGGTTAATGAATCCATTTTTACATTTTAAGTTAGTCCCTGGTTTTTTAAAAAAAAATTTGGTTTTTTGTTAAAATCTCTTAAGAGATTTTAACAGAGTATAGCCATCAATGGAGGTCACGTGGTCTAAAGACAAGCTCAGATATCATGCACAAAAAGGGTTAACTGTCAAAATTTTAATGCAATGCCCATGACACAGACACATATGCTGGCTACTAAATACAGAGACTATATATTTGTTCATAAAAATGAACTATGTAATTTAAACAAAACTTGATTAAACTAATTGTCCACTGCCAAAAGTGTTACTACAAGTTTTGAAACATTTTGCCACAAAATGCCTTACATTTTACAAGTATTACATAAAGCAAGTATTACATAAAAAAAGGCTGTGTCGTGTCACGACAATGATGAGAAAAACAAGGAGATTCAAGAAAACCAACCCTTATCCCTCAGTGGTAATCCTAGATTAACCAAGGTTTCATCTCTCAAATCTTCTTGGGTCTAATCAGCTTGTTTGAGAAATATGCTGTTACTTTGTCGTTGAAATAGAAAAAGATCGAGAGAAAAAGAGAGATGATGGCATTTCATACCATTGGCTCTATTTCCGAACTTTTCTTTGTATTCTACTAAGCACATACACCTTGCCGTGTTTGAAGATATTTTTAGCTGAAGTTTTCAATGACGTCTTTGCTACAGATTGCAGATTATCAGGATTAGAATGGTTGTATGTGTCCAGACAGAGAAACTCTGGTGTCTTCTCCAGAGTATATCTTTATTATATACCTCTCAGTTATGTGGTATTAAAAAAAATGCCAATGACTGCGCACACACGCACGTGCATCCATTCATACACACACAAATGCACTCAAGCATTACTTGCACACGACTGCAGATGCACGTGATTAAATGGGTAATGAAACGTGCACTGTTACAGTACTTAGCTAATAAGAATGAGCTTCTATGCACATATTGGTCCTTACATGAAATAGAGTGAAATAAAAACATTTTTTGATTAACTGTGAACTCTGTAAAGACATTAGAGAAGACCTTTAAACCTTGAAATTCATATAGACGAACATTCTCATGCATTTAATTACAATGACAAGTTTTAATTTCTTACGCAAAATGATCAGATACAATTTAAGACAGCATAAAAAATACACACAAAGATGTGGAGAAGTAAATCTTACTAATAACGATGAGATGCTTTAAAAAGTTTTACATAGAATATCTTTTTTAAGGTGTTTTATTGATAGGTAATTTACTTAAAAGAACTTTAATTAATTCTAAATGTACTATCACAGGTTTTAGTCTCTCATAACCCTTAGTAGGCTGGGTTTTATTTTTAAATGTGAGATGTAAATAAAATGATTATAATTATTATTATTACAAACACACTTATGCACTCAAGCATTACTTGCACACAAATGCAGATGTACATGTTTATTTGGGCAATGCAATGTGCACATACAGTACTTAGCTAATAAGAATGAATTCTTTTCTTCAAGTGGGGTTTTGAAAAACTTTTGACTAGTGAAGATGCTCAATGGACATGTCAAAGTCTCTTTAGTGAGAAAGATCATGTTTTTGAAAATAAAAAGAAAATAAAAGACCTTAATTCTTCAACTTATGTTTCATACATTAAGACAGAATTGTGTAAGCCTATAGAAAAAAAAGACATTATAAACATATACTTCTTTTTTATTTTTGAGAATGTACTGAGAGGAAGCAATGATCACACTGCTTGAAATCAGTATACTAAATATTAGTTTTACTCTTTGCTTGGTTTACACATAGGTAAACTGTACATAAATCATAACAGTAGTGGCAGTTTTGGCTACAATAAACTCTCTCTCTCTCTCTCTTTGTCTGTCTGTCTGTCTCTTTCTCTCGCTTGTCTCTCTCTCTCTCTCTCTCTCTCTCTCTCTCTCTCTGTCACTCTCTTTCTCTGTCTGTCTGTCTGTCTGTCTGCCTGTCTGTCTCTCTCTCTCTGTTATTATGTCCCTGTGTCAAGTGTATTAAAATATCTTATTACAAAAGCTTAGCAACGTAATCCATGACAATGATATTCATTAGTGCGCATGGTTATAGCTTCATTACAACAGCCAGATAATCACGTAGTAATTAGCAGGGTCAGGTTTCCCTTATTATGCCATGCTGGAGGTATAAAGTACTGCATTATCGAGCATCACAGGTGTTATTCCTGGATTTTGGGTGTTGAAGTTTACACAATAATGAGCTTTTTATGCCCCTAGCAAAAATACAGCAAAATCACCACAACAGATAACAGAAAAATCTATGATCAACTTCAATCATATATAACTGTGCTATGAGGCTCAACAAACAGTTATGACCAATAACCTCACACTTGAAAATAATGGGAACAAAGATAATCAGAATATCTAAAAATCTTTAGCCAACTGTCAAACTAGTAATTAAAAGTTTTCCGTTAACCCTAGAGTACTGATGGTGCAAAAAAGTTAACTGGAACGATCTGTTTTTCTGAAGAGACTTAACAATGTTTTCTAAAGAGACTTTTCTACCCATGTGGCATGATGTGACGATGTAAGCACCCTTCATCGAAGGGTCTTAATCACATGACACCCTACAGTAATTCTCTGATCTATACGAACGCCGCAATAATTACGAACGAAACGCTTTTTCTCTGAATCTGAATTTTTTGTCTCCGTTCTGTATGAACAATCACTGGACTCACCTTGGGCACAATTTTAACATTCTGAACGCAAGGAAGTGTGCCCAATTGAAACTCGCCTCATGATTCGTCAAAGTGAATTTTCAGACCACCGTTCCGAACAAAGGAACTGTCACTTGACAGGAGAGATTGTTATCACTTATTTGTGCATATTTACAATGTCATGCTGATCTCGAAGGCTCACAAGTCAGTCAATTGACTAAAGCTCCATGATGAAGGATGCATCTTAACGTCGTGCTACACAATTTGAAGAGAGACTGTTAAGAAAGCTATCGAAAACATCACTACACGATATGGCCAAAGATCATAAAATATGTACACCATCTCCATCAGGCAATTAAGAAAATGTCACTTACTCGCCCACGAACTCAAAAATATACCATCCAAGAATGAGAACTGTCAGATTTTCAAAGATATTCATACCATAGGCACTGAATACTTTAAATAACTGACTAACTTTAAGTGTGTTTAAATGATTCTTGTATATGTCACAGTCTAGATCCCAATTTAGTCAAACGAAGTAACTAACTGGACTAGGCCAGATCCTAATTGGGTCTTTGCACTGTTAACAGCATAATGAACTTGTTAATTGGCCAAGTAATTTGCAGGTAAGCTGACAGTTTGTTTGTGAATCCACAAATTTCTAGTATTGTACAATCAAACTAATTAAGCTGCAAATAAACATAAATATAAACATCCAAAATTACCACCTGTAATTTCCTACAAAATTTCAGGGAGTCCAAGTATGCCTAAGGCTGTCCAGCCATCTCAGAAAATATAGGCCATCTGGTGGCCGTCCATATAACAGCTGGACGGTTTGCTGGGAAAACCCTTGCTCGTTATGTATGTCAAATAATACACTGCCCCGCTCAATATACCATTTGCGGTGCATGTACTTCATAGAATAGAACTATAGAGTAGCCTGCTTTTCAAATTTGTTGATAGCACTCAGTGGGAACGTTCTTATTTTAAGAATAATGACTAAAGAAATACTGTATCAATAAAATTCACAATTTTCCCCCATTGAAAAAGATCCAGTAATTTAAGTATCTTATCCTTACCTTTGCAGCCTTCACAGCTTAGGGCGTTGTAATGATACCCAGACGCCCTATCGCCACATATCAAACACAACTCCTCCTCGATACTCTTCCCCTGGATTCCGCTGCCTTTCTTCTTCTTGAAAGGGATCCCGCATTGGCTGCTGCTTCCAGACGACAGCACGGACGCAGCCGGCGACCTGGGACTGGACGCCTGGCTGGACGAGGGGCTGGGAATACAGGATTGGCTGAGATCTCCCTGCATGTCAAAGCCGACCATGTTTCCATGCTGTTTAAGCATGGCCATACATCTCACATGGTAGTCATGGCCACTGGCAGTGGCTGCTGTGGGATAGGTTCTACTGGGAACTGTTTGAACAACTGGAAAAAAAATGATACAATTTGACTATGGCAATCACAAAACAATTTGCATGGCAGTCGTGACAAAATGGAGGCTGTTGTGGGATAGGTTCTACTTGGAGCTGTTTTAACAACTGGAAAAGAAAATTGATACAATTCGACAATAACAGCAATGGCAGAACAGTTTGCGTGGGAGTCAGGACTCCTGATACACTATCCGCACAATTTCCAACAACTGCAACAAATAAATACAATTTGACTATGGCAATGACAGAAACCTTTTGCATGGCATCATGGCAACAGGCGGTAGCTTCTGTGGGATTTAAGTTCTACCAGGAACTATTTGTACAATTAAAATAAATAAATAAATAAACACAATATGAAAATAATGGCAATGACAGAACAGCCAGTTTACATGGCAGCCATAACTATACTGATGGTGGCTGTGGTAAGATATAATTCCTACCAAGAGCTGTTTGAACAACTATAAAAAATAAATATAATTTGACTATAATGGCACTGACAACAGTTTATATGGCAGCGCAGTCATAATATGATGATGGCTGTGGTAGGTTATATGTTCTACCAAGAGCTATTTGTTCAACTGTAAAAAATAATACAATTTGTCTTTAACAATTATAAAACAGTTTGTATGGCAGTCAAAAATAGTAATGGTGGTTGCTGTTGAATATATATTCTATCAGAACCTGGCTGAACAACTGTAAAAAAATACAACTAGGAATGAGAGAATAAGCAATACTGCTAAAAACTGACTTAGCAATAATGGTCTGAAATCATTTAAGAATAAGTGACCTGCCTTTGTCATTCCTTAATATGCTAGCATCTGTCACAAACGAAAGGTAAAAAAAAAAAAAAAAAAAAAATTCATCAAGATAATTGTAATTTGCTGAAGAGGCTTACTTTAATGACCACAAAAATACCACAAAAATGACTTTTAGAAACTATTCAACCTTTAGAAACTATTCAACCTTTTTAAAAATTATTTACAATCAAGTGAAGGGAATCAGTCTCTATCTCTACTTGGAGCCTGACAAAAATAAGAAACTAAGATCTCAAAAGCGGGTTTCTGGTTTATAATTTGGCACACGACTTTGAACATGGTATAACTACTAGGAGGTAATTAAGGCAAATTGTTCAAATTCTCAACCAAATTGATTTTTGCTACACAAAGTTCTGACGCTCATTTAGACAAAAA